GTCTCTGTACACCCGCCGCCACAGGTGTACGCGCCGCTTACGCCTATCACGCCGTCCACGCAGCCGCTGCCTGAGCCCGTAGCGCCGACGCATCCGAGCGAGCCGGGCACGGCCAACGCGGCGTTCTGGCCGCCTAGTCCACCGGCTACCGTAGCCACTCCAGCTTCGGCACCGGCTACACCGCACACCGCAGCGACGACGTACACGCCTCTTCCCGCCACACCCGCCCGCTCGCGCTCGCGGCACCGCTCTCCGCACCCGGGCATCCCGACGCCGCCGTCCTCGCATCGCGCGCATACGCCCCTCCCGCCGCTCGGGATCCCGCTCGCGTATCCCGCGTTCGCCGCGTCGACGCCCGTTCTGCCGACGCCCGTGTCGGTGCTGGTGCCTTCGCCGTTCGTCGGTACACCGGCCGTACTTGGTGTGGGTTTGGGAGGACAGATGACGGCGGGGCAGATCTTGCAGACTGAGATCGGATATCCCGCGCCAGGGTCGGCTGTCTGGGCTCAACGCCATGGAATCAGCTGGCCGCCCAGCTCAGACGAGATCCGTCACCTCAAGTCGCAGGGCGTGATACACAGCGGCGAGATCGTGCTCGCGCCCTGGCTCGTCCCCAACCCGAACGACACCGACAGACCCATTCTGGACTGGGACATATCGCAAGAACCGACGACGAGCGCGATGCGTGTTACGAGCCGCGGTACGCTCGTGAGAGTCAGGAGCGATGCGGAGATTTGGGACGCGCCTGTTGCGCGGGCTGTTTCGGGGGAGGGGAAGGTTGGGCGGGTCGCGGTTCAAGTGGTCAAAGGAGGGAACCGCGACGAGTGTGTCGTGGGGGAGCTCGACGTCGGCTCGGACGATGATGGGGGAGAAGTGAGCGTCGGCGAGCTGATGACGGCTCTACACGAATGGGCGCGCTCCCCGGTCGACCCGCGCTCCGTCCGCCAACTCCAATCCGACGAGCCAGATCGCTACGCGCGTATATGCGCGTTCTACCACGAGCGTATCAGGCAGGAACGAGGGGGGACTGATGCGGACGGGGTGAGGTTTAGTGGCGAGGGGCTGAGGGTGTGCGATGCGCTTGAGGGGGGGCGGGCGTGGTGGGG